GTCACTGAGTTTGATCTTATTATCTTTCAAGTCTGTTAGGCATGGGCAGAAAATCCATATTGGTTCTAATGAGACTTGTGAATGAAAAGGATCTTGGACCCTTGAATGCTTATTCAGCACACATGTTTATTGGGAATGAGTGAGGAAGGTGTGAAAGTATATGATGTGGTCTTACAGGTTGCTAAGGGCCCCAGAACTCCCTGTAGATTTGTTTTAACACATTGCTGTGGTTTGAGCCAAGGGCCATTGGAGTCCAGAGCTATGCCCTTGACTCCTATGCTATGCTACCTGCTAAAACAATGAGGGTAGACTACTAATGAATGCTTTATACAGGGACATGAGAATTGGTAAAGAGGTTCTTAGAATATAATGCTCATTAGGACTCTAAGTATCAAAAACTGATTTTAACTGATTTAAGTAGGAAAGAAATTTCTTAAAAAGATACTGAATGGCTGACAGATTTTCCAAAAGGACTCTAGGCTTGGAGGGCATATATCCAGGAACAATGCCCCAAATCATAGTGTGAAACAGACCCAATGAAGACACTTCTTTGCTGCTGGCCACACCACTGGCCCCACTGAGGTGGGTCCTGTTATTTGAGCCCCTACTCTGGCTGCCTCTGGCTGGGGCGGCCATGCATGGTCCATATGCATGCTGCATGCTACCTGCTTCTTCCTGACATAGCACTCAATGGCGATTCCAAGTCAGGACAGGCGATTCAACTGGCAGAGCCTATGTTATGATGTGGGCTTTCCAGGTAGCACAGTGATAAAGAATCCACCTGAAATTGCAGGAGATGCAGGTTAGATCCCTGGGTTGGAAAGATCCCCTGGAGACGGAAATTGCAACCCACTCTAGTATTCTTGCCTGAAGAATCCAATAGACAGAGGAGCCTGGTGGGCTATAGTCAATGGGATTTCAAAGAGTCGAACATGAGTTCACGACTAAACAACAAACAATGCCATGATGTTCTTTCTGGGGAGACTCAGAAAGCAAATACATTGCACTTTTACCTTCTATGATGAGCAAGGGACATCAGATATTGGGAGACCCAAGAATGACAAATTCCACAGTTGCCCTTTTGTTTCCTTCATATTGTTCTCTTGTCTCTCTTTGGTTAAGCAGAATTTATCCATGCTTTAAGGTTCAGCTTTTATCCCACTTCCTCTATGAAATTTTCTCTGACTCCTCTAGTTTTGGTTTTATTCATCTTCTGAAATTCTGCATTAGTTACAGCCAGAATGAGCTGTGAAAACCTAATATGAAAATTTAACTTCATATCACTAGACCTGAACCTCATTGTCCCAATGAATTGTTGTAAGTAGAATAGTATTTGATGGCCCCTTTGAATCATTAGTAGAGAAATAGCTAATCTGTGTAGATAGCTTCCTCTCCTTCTACCCAACTTACTCCCCTTGTTCTGTTTTTGGTCTTTAATAATCAACACTGTTTGATGTTTTTGTGAACATTTTGTGTTATTTTCTTGTCTCCTTAACTAGGAGGCATTCCCACTGAGGGTAGCAACTGTATCTAATAATTCCTCTGTGATGTCAAAAAGATAGTGCAAGCAGTATGCACTCATTGATTGGTTGGCGAGAAATATGCTTGAAAAATGCAACATTTTGTAGCATATGTGGGTCTTCTGATCCAGTAGGTATTCACTCTATGTCAGAATACCTCATTTCTAGAAATAGTAGTAAAATTTCCTCCCCTTCCTGTAAAACTTTCCCTTCAACTAGGGATTGACAGTGGAATATTTTATTACAGGGTTGAAGATCCTTTCAGAACAGCAAGTCCATGGCCCTGATGTAAAGACTCCCCTACATGTGTCTGCACAGAAAGGTTGAGTGTATAGTCCTTTACTATTGCTTTTCAACAGTCTGGTTTCAACGGAATGAGGGGTGAGCTTTCAGTACTGAGTGGCTTACCCTTCAGGCTTGTCTTGGTAGAGATATAGATATTCTAAGAATTGATTTCTATGAGAGAAGTTATTTGAAAAACTAATACCCAATTGCTCAGCAAAAATGTGCATAATGTATATTTTCTCTTATATTCTTTAGTCCTTTAATGGCAAATAATTTTTTAAAGTGATTTGGGTGGTGTGGTTATCCCTTAGATCTAATCTCCCTGTATTCTCTACTTAAGTAATTTCCAAGCAGAAATTTAGATTCGCCACTACCAGCTTTTCTATTACATTATTCTAAGCATCTTGTTGACCTGTCTAGAGAGGGAAAGGTACAACCTGTATCATTTGTAGATTTAAATCTCATAAGTTCTTTTCCAATGTGGAGATTTCTTAAAAAACTGGAAATAGAACTGCCATATGACTCAGCAATCCCACTTCTGGGCATACACGCCGAGGAAACCAGATCTGAAAGAGACACGTGCACCCCAATGTTCATCGCAGCACTGTTTATCATAGCCAGGACATGGAAGCAACTTAGATGCCCATCAGCAGACGAATGGATAAGGAAGCTGTGGTACATATACACCATGGAATATTACTCAGCCATTAAAAAGAATTCATTTGAATCAGTTCTAATGAGATGGATGAAACTGGAGCCCATTATACAGAGTGAAGTAAGCCAGAAAGGTAAAGACCATTACAGCATACTAACACATATATATGGAATTTAGAAAATGGTAACGATAACCCTATATGCAAAACAGAAAAAGAGACACAGATGTACAGAATAGACTTTTGGACTCTGTGGGAGAAGGCGAGGGTGTGATGTTTCGAGAGAACAGCATCGAAACATGTATATTATCTATAGTGAAACAGATCATCAGCCCAGGTTGGATGCATGAGACAAGTGCTTGGGCCTGATGCACTGGGAAGACCCATAGGGTTTGGGTAGAGAGGGAGGTGGGAGGGGGGATCGGGATGGGGAATACATGTAACTCCATGGCTGATTCATGTCAATGTATGGCAAAACCCACTACAATGTTGTAAAGTAATTAGCCTCCAGCTAATAAAAATAAATGAAAAAAAAAAAACCTCATAAGTTCTTTTCAAGAAAACTTTTTTTTTTTTCTATATGAGATTTCAATGTATTTAGAAATAGTAAAGAGTTATGGGGAAAATATTTGCAACTCACATATCTGATGAAAGGCTAATATCCAGACTATAAAAAGGACTCTCAAAACTCAATAATAAGAAAACAAACAACCCTCCAAAAATGAACAGTATTTTAATAGACATTTCACCAAAGATGTATGGATAGCACACGAACACATTAAAAGATATCAGTGTTATTTGTTTCTTCTTGTTGTTTAGTTGCTAAGTCCTGTCTAACTCTTTGTGACCCCATGGACTGTAGTCTGCCAGGCTCCTCTGTCCATGGGATTTCCCAGGCAAGAATACTGGAATGGGTTGCCATTTCTTTCTTCAGGGATCTTCCTGACTCAGGGACCCAGGGATCAAAACCAGGTCTCCTGCATTGCAAGTGATTCTTTACCGTCTGAACCACCAGGGGAGCCCATTAGTCTTTAGGGGAATGCAGGTTAAGACCACAACAAGATACTTCTGCATACCTTTATGGTGAAAATCAAAAGAAACGGTATCAAGTGTTGATGGGAATGTGGAGAAACTGGAATTCCTATATAGCTGGTGGGAGTGTGAAATGAAATTGCCACTTTGACAAATAGCCAGGCAGTTTCTTATAAAGTAAAATAGACCCTTACTATACAACCCAACAATCCTATTTCTAACTATTTATCCAAATGAAATAAAAGTATGTTCATGCAACAACCTTAACATGAATGCTTATAGCTGCTATATTTACAGTTGCCTCAAACGAGAAACAACCCAATGTCCCTCAGCTGATGAATGGGTAAAAAATCTGTAGAATTTCCATCAGTGGAATAGTCATCAGCAATAAAAGGAATGAACTGCCCCGTGAAAACATGGCAGAGTCTCAAATGCATTATGCTAAGTGAGAGAAGCCATACTCAGAAGGCTGTGTTCAGTATGGCTGCATTTGTTGATGTGCAGGACCTCTGTAAAGACACAGAAAACAGTGGTTTCCAGGAGCTGGGAGTGAGGGGAGGGGTTGACTGTATGAGGAACAGGAGAGTTTTGGGGGCAGTGGAGCTACTCTGTACTTTGGTTGTGGTGGGTACATGACTGTATTTGTCAAAACTCACAGAACCATCCACCAAAAAGCGTGACGTTTACATGTGTTGTTGTTGTTCAGGCGCTAAGTTGTATCTAACTCTTTGTGACCCCATTAAGCCTGCAGCACTTCCTTGTCCTTTACTATCTCCCAGAGTCTGCTCAAACTCATGTCCTTTGAGTTGGTGATGCCATCCAACCATCTCATCCTTTACTGCCCCCTTCTCCTCTTGCCCTCAATCTTTCCCAGCATCAGGGTCTTTTCCCGAGAGCTGGCTCTTCGCATCAGGTAGCCGAAGTATTGGAGCTTCAGCATCAGTCCTTCCAATGAATATTCAGGGTTGATTTCCTTTAGGATTTACCTATGTAAATTATACCTTTTTCAGAACTGAAAAATTATTTAGGTTCATCTCGGGACTGAGATGAAGAGATTGGCAAGATCAGTCTGGCTGAAGGCGATTGGATGGACACAGCTAAATAGAAGACAAGTAGACCATGATTTTTAAAACAGAAGTGTAACAGGGTGCTAAGGTAGTATGCAGAAGATTGCTATAAACTCTAATAGTGTCTGTGTGTGCGCTCATCTTTGAGGATGAGAGTTTGTAAGCGGGGAAGGTCTCCCAGAGGGAAGCCATATGTGACAGATGGGGAAAAGTTTTCCCACTGAGACGGGTTGAATGAGGAAGAGGGAGCGAGGTCAGGTACATCCGAATCCCAGTGACTTATGTAAACAGGGTATATGAGGAGTGATCCAAAAAATAAAGGGAAAGGCAAGTGTGAGTTTTTAATACAGAAACCAGTTATATTTTGTTTATGCAAAGGAGAAGAAAAACAAACATTATTGGAAACATGCAAGCTGTGTTGTCTCTCGGCTACAGCTGCTAACCATACAGGCTTTCCCGGCAGAGAGCAGGTTATGCATCCTGTAACTATGAGGACACACCCTACGTTAGCCCCCAGGCAGAGAGATAATAATAGTATGCATGCTGGCAGCCTACACTCTGGAAGGGTTTACGAGGAGGAAGTCCGCAATTACATATTTCTGGGCAAACATTAACCAAGATTGAAACCCAGATTTGAAGAAAAATAACAGGCTGGAAATCTTCAGACATCTTCTGTAGCTGTTCTGTGGATTGAAAACAGTAGTTAGACACTGCTGACACTTAAAGATAAGGTAAAATATGGAGAAGACAGTACATAGGACCTGATAAGAAGCCCTTATCACACCTGCCCACAGCATGTGTTCTAGAACACACAGAGCATTGTCCACATCTGAATGGTGAGAAGCTGTTCCCATCCATTACGACAAAGCCACAGCCACAACATAGGATCTATTGTTCACCTCATAGTGGTGACCGAATCTATTTATCTGTGTGGTTTAAGAGCCCACCGCCGTGCATTGAAAAACCTCTTCTTGGCAACATATCGCAAAGAGCATCTCAATCACTGCTCCTACCATCTGAACAATTTTGGTTCTGCGCTGTGGTTTTGTAATTTCCATTTTTAAAAACTTCTTTGCCTGAGCCATGATGTGCCCAGTCTAGGCTGGGCATACTTTAAATGAAACTGTTAAGCTAAAATTAGCTTGACATCAAGATGGTGCGTGTTCATTTTCCTTGTATTTATAGCTGACCACAGTCATTATACAGAAGGCATCTAGTCTTTACTGTGCACTCTAGGGAACAGGAGGAGCTGTGGCCATAACCAAAAAAGGAACTAGGAATTTTTCCAAAGACAGATGGCCGTAACTACTGCCTGAACAGTGCCTGCATTTTTTGTGAGGCCAGCCGTGTAGGGTGTGGGCGGGGGGAAGGCCTTCTCCTGACACAGATGTACTCTTCAGTTCTTCTGCAATTAATCAAGAGTGATGGGACCTTTTCTAAAAGATTTGCTTGGGGGCCCAGAATTTACCTTGTATCACCACAGAGGAAGCGTATGTAGCAAAACTTCTTCCTCTTTGAGTTTCTTCACCAAGAAACTTACTAATGGACCTATCCAAGAGGTGAAGCTAAAGTAACCGAATGTGATGCAGAGAAAAGAGTTTTTGACCAGAGACAGAAGATATGAATTTTAGTTCAGTTTCTCGCTCTAGCTACTTATGTGGTTTGGGCTTTAATATGACAGATTCACAGGGTTGGATGAAGATTCTTTTAGTTCAAAATTCTGATATTCCCAACTCTTTTGAGAAAAGGAAGAGAATTTTCACCATTCGCATTGAAAGTTAAGTGGTACAACTGCAGAGGAAAAGAAGAAAACCTTCTATTAAGCCTGAATCCTTGACCTTGTCTCACTTGACTTTGATATTCTCAGCAATATGTTTTTGTTTGTTTTATGTTGTTCTGATTATTTCACTATCAGTTATCATTCATCTGACTGGGACAGTTTAGTTAAGGTGTTTGAATATGTGTACTGTGTTCCAACAAAATTTTATTTAGAAAAACAGGTGGTGGCCTCAATTTGGGAGCTATCATTTTCTGAATGCTGGTCTAAATTATTGGGATCATCTGCACCATTATCAACATCAATAACCAAGATTTTTGTGCCTCTATTATGAAATTTTTTGTAGAGTTAGGGTCAGCGTAGAAGTTGAGAAGGAACCTGAGCACCTGTGGACCACAGCTTAGTATCAATTCGCACATCTGAAAAAAACCAGTATTTAAAAGAGAAAACTAATAATGAAGATCAAAACAGATTCTCTTTCGATTCTGCAGGCATACCTTCAGTTGTACCTAACATTTTTTAAGCATCCGTAGGGATTGATACTTTTAAAATTACTATGCATCTCTTCCTTTTGTTTATTACTCTATGCCTATCCAAAATTGTGGCATTAAAATCAAACTCCGTAGTACTTCTGAATATTCAAGCTCTTTTGGAGTTACCCAGTTGGTCCTATACAATGTTTAGAAATTGAAGATGTCAAGTGACAAACATGCCAAGCTAAGCCACAACTCTTATGGTTGATATGTGTTGAAATGAGCAAATGTTTGTAAAAAATGAAGATATGTATATTAACTTTTTTCCTCTAGCATTATGGGATTGACCCAACCCAAGATAAGGTAAGATTAATTTTATCAGATCCATTTTCCATGTTTCTGCCTTCAAGTCTGAACATTGAGTTGTCCTGGTGATCATAGATGAAATAAACCTCTCATTGTTTTAGACAATTCAGGAGATGGGTGGACCCGTCATCCTAGTATAACTACTTATTTTTATCTTTGCTTTTGACTCCAGGTGTCCTTCATAATAGAAGTCTAAAAAAACATGTGGTTCATGGATTTGATTATTTTCAACATTTTGGCTGCTAGTTAAGTTCTAATTTTAGGAGTGATAGACTAACACATAGGGTAAGATTCTAGGGATCATGAAAGAACCTATTGTACAATATTATCTCTTTTTTTAGTATTTGAAAACTTTCTTTGACTTTGGACTTATTAAAATACATGTATTTTATGTGCTACAGGGATATTACTGGCTATTAATGTCTCATCACAAATGTGTTTGTAATATGGTGTATGGAGTGAATCCTAAGGGAATGAAGCCCCAGAGAGGTGCTTTTCAAAAGAAGGAGAGTGGTGATTTATTCCCTCTTTTACAATATAATCTTATATCTTAATTTAATTAATCTATAATCTTATATCTTAATTTACTATATAATCACTCCAGTTCAGTAACACTGAAAATACAGTCCTCTTTTGGAATCTGCAGTAAATTCAATGTATAATCTCTAGAATATGCTGAGCAATTAAAAAAAAAAAAACCTGCCTCATTTTCTGTGTAATCTTGATGCCAAAGAATCACTGACTTACTTGCATCCATTGGATAAAAGTTCTTTCTTAGGGCTGATCAGAACGTACTAAACAGTAGAAATGTTTGAAAGGGTATATGAATTTTCTTAGACTTTTTGATGTATCTCATTTAAAGATTAAACAGTTTTACAGTAAGAGATCATGTCAGTAGTTTTGAGGTCTGATTCACCTGTTTGTCTCTTAGCTCTTAAGCTTTTCTGTACTGAGAAAACTGATATGACAACTAAGAGGAAGAAATTGAAATTGTTATACTGGCAAAGCTTGGGACATGTATAAATTGGTGTTCTCAAGGGAGGATTCCTATATGAAGAGTCTTAACCAGACCACATTAACTTTCCCTGAAAGTCAAGAGGATGGCCCCTGGGGAACCCCGAATATAGTCAACCAAGCAAAACGTTGATTCTTTGAAGAGAAAGCCCCAAAATTTGCCTATGCCAAATTCTGTGGGAAAGGGTCTACTAGATTTTGGGTGAAAGATTTTAGGAGGTATCATCAAGTTTGTAGGTTTGTAGGAAGCTTTTTTTTTAATTTCAGAAAATTCTTTAGAACAAAGTGATACAGATAAAGATTCTCAAGGAAGGAGACTCAGAGATACTTTTCTATTGTCAAGGAGGGTTCTCCCTGGAGCAAGGTAGAGAACTACCAATATTCTGTGGGCATTATATGGAAGTTGTAGTGCAGGCCGAGCAAAGTGGTTTCATGGAAACTGTGCCAAGGATTCTGGGAATGTTTGGCCTCATCAATAAAGAACAGTTTGGTGAATTAGTGAGTGATGTCTGCTGTGGGTGTGCGAGGAGGAAATAATTGTGCACACAGTAAATTTGCTTGAGGTACAGTCTTGTGGCAAGCATTTTGATCTTGTAGATGGGGAAGAAATTCTTTCCTTTACCCTTTTAAATTTAGGGAATGGGGCATGTGAATTAAACTGACAGAAGACCGGTTAACAGGAGGAAAGTTCTATTTTGCATGTACATGGGAGCTTCACAGGAAAGAAGTGAAAACCCAAAGAAATGGTTAGGCTTGAGAGCTTATACATCATTTAAGAAAGGGGAATAAATTGTGGAGAAGTAGTAAGATGACATTTACTTCTGCTTTGTTGACTATGCCAAAGCCTTTGACTGTGTGTATCACAACAAACTATGGGAAATTCTTGAAGAGATGGGAATACCAGACCACCTGACCTGCCTCCTGAGAAATCTGTATGCAGGTCAAGAACCAACAGTTAGAACTATACATGGGACAACAGTCTGGTTCCAAATTGGGAAAGGAGTACGTCAAAGCTGTGTATTGTCAGTCTGCATATTTAACTTATATGCAGAGTACATCATGAGAAATGCTGGACTGGATGAAGCACAAGCTGGAATCAAGATTGCTGGGAGAAGTATCAATAACCTCAGATATGCAGATGACACCACCCTTATGGCAGAAAGCAAAGAAGTAAAGAGCCTCTTGATGAAAGTGAAAGAGGAGAGTGAAAAAGTTGGCTTAAAACTTAACATTCAGAAAACTAAGATCATGGCATCTGGCCCCATCACTTCATGGCAAATAGATGGGGAAACAGTGAAAACAGGGACAGACTTTATTTTGTTGGGCTCCAAGATCACTGTAGCTGGTGACCGCAGCCATGAAATTCAAAGACGCTTGCTCCTTGGAAGAAAACTTCTGACCAACCTAGACAACATATTAAAAAGCAGAGACATTACTTTGCCAATAAAGGTCCATCTAGTCAAAGCTTTGGTTTTTCCAGTGGTCATGTATGGATGTAAGAGTTGGACTATAAAGAAAGCTGAGCACCGAAGAATTGATGCTTTTGAACTGTGGTGTTGGAGAAGACTCTTGAGAGTCCCTTGGACAGCAAGGAGATCCAACCAGTCCATCCTAAAGGAAACCGGTCCTGAATATTCACTGGAAGGACTGATGTTGAAGCTGAAACTCCAATACTTTGGCCACCTGATGTGCAGAGCTGACTCATTTGAAAAGACCCTAATGCTGGGAAAGATTGAAGGTGGGAGGAGAAGGGGACGACAGAGGATGAGATGAGGCATGAGTTGGATGGCATCACTGACTCAATGGACATGAGTTTGAGTGAACTCTGGGAGTTGGTGATGGACAGGGA